TTCCCAGAGCTCCTCCTGACCAGCCTCCTCTATCACTGACTCTTTTTCTTTTACTTTAACAGCCGTCACCACCCTCCTTTGCACCACCGGCTCTGTCGCATACCCTAGCTGTGCCAATACGTCTGTAACAATCCTTGTTACTCCTGGGGTCCCAGAAGCGGTCGCATCTCTTTCCTTTCTCTTCTATCTTTGCAGGCGTACCTGACGTTGTTCAACCTGGTCCAAGCACCCAACTTCCACCCCTCTGTCAATGGTGGCCCAGGTGAGCTTAGTGCTACCTCCTCCATGTCTCGTCAATTCGACGGCCTCCGATGCTGTGAGTAGCCCCAGGAAGATGGCGCACTATGCTTCCTCCGGAATCCCATGGACCTTCCGCGCCCTCTTCTTAAATTCTTGAACAAAGGCCCCTATAGTCGTAAAATCCTCTTTGTTCATAGCTTCAAGGTCCGTGGTAGTCAACAACCCGTCTCCCAGGCGGTATTTTCTCTGCATCCCCTCCTTGAACCTCTCCCAGCTACCTTGAGCTGCATTTATGACTTTCTTCACCTCCTGATGGTAGCTGCGGAGGACATACTGAAGGATGCGTTGAAACTTTACAACATCCGGCCACCCGACCAAAGCTTGTTCCACCCTCTCTAGCCATTCTAAAACTCTCTCCCCACAAAAGTGGAAAGTATCGACCTTTGGGATGTTGCTCGGGTTCCTTTCATGTCGGTCGATGGCCGCGATGAGGTCATCGAGTGTCAGGCACTTCTTAGGAACAACTGATGCGCCGCCAGTCTCAGGCATCTTAATAGCCTCTTCTTCTTAAATTCCCTGACAAAAGAAAACAAGCACATCCCCTTATTCAACATTATACCTTGACCGGTCTATTCCATCCGTCCCACCTAACCCTTAGTACTTACTTTACCCAAAGTTAACACGATCTTCCCTCATACTTCCTCTACTTGGGTTGGTAAATTTCCCCACCTACACTTAAGCATTCATATATTCTTTCATTACCTTCTCATCACTCCTTTATGCCTTTTCTTATTCAACTCTCATACCCGGATGTCGTTCCACCAGGGACAACGGTAGACTTTCCATTATCCCCGGCAACGGCGCCACTTGTCGGGCGCATCGGTCCGGCACCGCACAGGGGCAGTGCGGGACCCTCCCGGCCGCGTCACACAGGAGTTGGTTTTTAGAACCCTTCGTCGCAATATACATGGAGCTTCCACAAACCGCTCCGGCCGGGTGCGTCAGCCATACCTCTCGCGAGCCCCTACAACAGGATAGGGCCTACGCGAGGCACGACTTACCTACACCTTACGGGAGCTGTCACCTCCCTTCGGTGGACGTATCCCCGCCGAGCTACTATTCCACAGTACGAAAGCTAATCAGTTGCAATCGCAGAGGTGGACCAGCCGAGGGCGTTTCTCGTTCGCTGAAGCATAGGGGGTACGCGCGGTAATACGCCTCTATCGGACCCGCACGCGAACCGACATCTTGGGGGGGCTGAGGTCCCAAGCGCGACTCATCGTCGGTCGACTAGGACGCATCCCACACACCACGCGCACTCCACTTTACGAACACACATACACACAAAACAACATATATACGAAACGACACAATACCAACAACGCGACAACGCTCCTAGCCCCTTGGTAGCCAACCCATAACTTCCCAGTGCGGAAATCGGATAGGCGTTRCGYGCTGAACTTAGTATAAAACCGCGAGGACGCTGGGCATACTCACATCGACTTGCAATGCAGACATACACAAGCAGTCGCAACGATGGCGTACTATGTAGTGCCCATAATCAAGCGGTCCCTCATGGATCCGAGTACCGCTTATGACACTCAAGAGTCAGACTTGAAGTGTCGTGAGGGYCTAACCCTTCACGACATTGCACGRCTAAAGGAAAAGTCRTGCAKCCACCGCTGCACCTTAGGCTCTCGACCTGAGTGTCTCGGTAGGTAAATYAAATAGGCTCTTCGCGAGGGAAAAMCCCTCCCCTACAGAGCCTAGGGCTTGGGATGTCCTGGACAAGGACCTAGAACCCCGGCCCAGGACCAAATGTCCGACTAAGAAAATCATCAAAAAAAAGCAAGAGACAATAATAAAAGGAGAGACCTCCTCTAAGTCCCTCAGTCTCAGCTTCTGAGCGGGCTCTAAAGTGGGGCCTCTTCAACCCATGCAGACATTCATCCCAAGTATACMCATGTATACATATATAAGGGTTAAATATGTGACGATCACTTTTTATGGTCTYACTGGGGTCTCTCACAATATTACGTATATGTGTGATCGCAGGCAACCAAATCCTGAATCTGATTCACAGCACATACCTGCCATCACATCAACAAACCAAATCAACAGCCCACACACTACACGGAGTCAACCCCAACTACCTTCGACATTCATACCCCTTGCTTTAGCCATGCAAACCCCAAAACCTCCTGTCCAACCAACCTTAATTAAAACTCAGCACCTTTGTTAAATGGCCATTCAACAAAAGTCCGGGTGAAAACCTTAATAAAACAACGAAGATCACCAGGGCTAAAGCCTTTTAGGTTGAGTGTGGAGGGAGAGTTGAAATTGAGTCGTAGACCGATGAATCGGCAACCGACCTGTTATCAGTGATAACATTAAGTGATCCTCAAGGGATCAAACTGGATCTAGCCCTGAATTTGGATCAAATGATCAAAAGGACCTGTAACACACGGCAGACCAGTCCCCAAGCTAAGATCATAAGTGTATGGAGAATATAACTCCATAATACATCCTTAATCAAAATTTTTTTATTAGCTAAGCCTAAGACTACTTTTAAGTCAGTGCTTAAGCCAAAGGTAGACCAACTGCAAAATCTCCCCTATTCTGGGTGGATCGCCTGAATCACCTGTCAAAATATAATCTATCTCCTCTAAACTAAGAAAATTTTGGCAGCGCTTCCCGTAGGAAAAGTGCCTTTTCATAATTTATATAAGCCCAGATATGGGAACAGAAATAATCTCTGACTCCTGGAAAGTCAAATTCTGTCTAACTCTCTGAATTAGTAAAAATTTGGGCAGCACTTCCTTTACAAAGAGAGACTTCCCAGATTTATACTAAGCCAGATATAAAAGCAGAAATAATCTTTAACTCTGGAGAATGAAATTATGTCTCGCTCTCTGAATTGGTAGAAGTTTGAGCAACACTCCCTTTAGAAAAGGAGACTTCCCAAATTTATACTCAGTCAGATATGAACTCGAACAATAGCTCGAGCTCAACTTTAGACTGAATTTAACTAACTCCTTAATTTTTGTAGAAATTTCGGCAGCACTCCCTCTAGAAAAGTGTTACTTCAAAATTTATACAAGGCTAAGTTCAGAATTTTGAGAATAACTTTGACTTCTCAAAGTCCAATTTTGTTTAACTCCTTAAATTAGTAAAAATTTGGGCAGCACTCCCTCTAGAAAATGAGATTTTCCAGATTTATACTAATCCATATATGGAAAAGATAAGTTGAACTCTGACAAGTCAAAAGTTGATTAACTTCTTGGATTTGTAGAAATTTCGGCAGCGCTTCTCGTAAGAAAAGTAACTTTTCAAGATTTATACAAAGCCAAGAATAAAAAAAGATCTCAGAAAATGCAGGAATTGACCTAAGAAAAAAAAACGTTATTACAGAAAATAACAGGAATTGACACTAACTCCTATGGCTCTAGCACGTGGCGAGCAACTACAACAACTACCTAAGTAATGAAACTTAAACAAACTAGCCATCTCATCCAGTCACATGCAAACCAAACCACAAATGTAAGTACTCTCACCACCCCAAGTTCATTCCATATAAATAGTTCGTGAATCTTCAAGTTCTTGAATCCTTATACCCATCTTACATAAGACATAGAGCTGGACCATTCGCCATGGAAACAATGCACAACTTGTCCTTATGATATACACGAACCGGTTGCACAACTACTTCTTTCTTCTTTTGGGCAGATGACTAGGCCATTCGCCATGGAAACAATGCCTAGCCGCCCTGAGCTGTTTAATATCCAAAGATTTAGTATTTTTCTGACTTTGTTTTCAAAAGAAAAAACAAATATGGGCAGGGGACTGAACCATTCACAGTAGAAACAA